AATGTGGGATGAGGCTTCTAGAAATGTCTCTGAAAAGGGGAAAAGGGATCAGAGAACTGGAACACACACACACACACACACACACACACACAGACACATTTTATGCCTGGGACACAGCATGATTACGAAAACTAATGCAACCCCAATGGGCGATCTTGAGGATGAAAGTCATATATGCTAGGAAGACAGAAGGAGCTTTAGTCTGTTATGACACTGGGAATCAACCTTATCCTTTCTATGCTATTTACCTCTAGACTTTTTACTTGAAATAAAAATAAATTGCACTGATAAAACTGATCAAACTAGTTTTACTTTTAAAACTTTGTATTGACAGTTTCTAGCAGCTAAATGTGACATAGATGACTTCAACAAATGAACCACTATAGGGCCATTTATTAAAATGGTGACTACTAGATGAGAAATGAGGAGAAAAGGATTTTCAACAGGTGTGTGTACACACACACACACACACACACACACACACATATATATATATATATATATATATATATATATATATACAGAGTGAGAGAGAGAGAGAGAGAGAGAGAGATCTATTAAGGGCCATGAAACTGTTTCAACCATGTGTCTACCATTCAAGCTATTCTGATTAAGGAGTCGGCAGTGACTAGAAAGAAGTTATGAGTTTTAATTGATATTTCTGATTTCATTTCCAAATTATTGTTAATATTGTACTTCTGTTTAATTGATGAATTTATCCCTCAATACCACCTATAGGCAATTTTCTTAACCAAGAATTCTTCCAGATTTGCCACTAATGAGTAACTCTGGGAATTGGGTCTCCAAGGCCAAGAAAAATTCCTCCTATAGCCAAATCCCTTCTAATCCCAAGAGAGATGAAGAATGATAATGCTCAGCTCCCAAACTGCATCATCTCTACCTTCAGACATGGTCTCACCAGTGTGAAGGGGCCTGGGATTCTGTTGTCTGTCCAACCTACCCATCAAGAACATTGAGTTAAATGGAGATTGGAAAGTCAGTAGGTAAGTGTGGAAGATAGCATTTGACAAATGGATTCCTGAAACATAGAAGTCAAAAGTTCTGCACTTGGGTGGGAGGGGCTGGAAAACCTTGAAAACATATTTAATTTGTGTATCTGTTTCCAAAGATGTAAATCAGGACAGCTGAAAGAAAATACCTTACATGGTAAAATTACAACTGTGAAAATATCTAGCAGTAGAAAGTTAAATATATGAGTCTAGAGTTAAGGAAAAAAGTCAGAATTGAAGATATAATTTGAGAGTTATCTATTTATAGATATTTAAAGTATGGAACCAGAATATAGAGAAGAGGAGAGGTATAAACATGAGTAAGAAAAGAAGAGAAGAAACCTGCCAAAAAGACTATGAAAAAGTTGTTAGTGAGATCACAGGAAAGCCAGGAGGTCTTGAAAGCAAGATAAAGTCAATGTTTGAAGTAAGAAAAGAAGAATCAACTGTGTTGAGTCTTGTTAAGAGATCAATTAACTTAAGGACTTTGACATTGAAGAGAATGATTTCAGTGGAATGATAAGAGCAAATGCTGGATTTAAGAGAGTTCAAGAGAGCATGGAAGACAAAACAATTGATTTGAAGAGTAAGATCAATGAGTGATAGGGACAATGAGGTTTCAATGAATATGTCATAAAAAGAGAAGTAGAGGTGTAGCTAGAAAAGGTGGGAGAGGACATGTTAGGGTACTAGAATTCGGTCCATCTGGGACTGAAAATTTCAAGATACATAGAAAGAACCTCACAACCCCTAGATGCTAAACTATTATTCAGATAACCTTAGGACTAAGCCACACCTGACCTGAGAACCAGTGTGAACTATGTATTTTCTAGAGGAATAACCTGGAAGTGAGTATTATAGCAATGATAGTATTCAAGCAAAATCATCAAGAAGATCCAACCTGAAAGAAAACGTAAAAACACGGGAAGCATGGTATTGTCAGAGCTGAAGGAAGTATTATTCTTAAGAGATAAAGGAGTAGGGGTAGCCTTAACCTTATAGAAGAGGAATCCTCCAATTCCCGATATAAAGGAGAGGAAAAATTGAAATAGAAGGAAAAGAAGCAATAGAGGAATAGTTGATAGAATAGCCTACATTTTTAATTCAACTCAGTAGACTGGCAGATTAACATACTTTAACATGATGCTCATGTGTGTTAAACTGCCAATCTGCTGAGTTCAAGACTGTTATATTAGAGGTATTTCTTGGAGGGAGAGTAGGGCCAAAAGCAGAAATATGTACAATTTCTGGGAGATGATTGCAACATGAATTGTTCAAGCATGTTAAAAATGTAAGTTTTTATGTCCCACTACAGATTTACTAAATTTCTGAAGTCCTGAAATTTTAATTAGTTCTCTACAAGATTCTTCAGTAGGTGAAAGTTTCAGAAGTTCTCTTCTCAAGCATTAAAAAATGCTTAGAATAAAGAGGGAAAAATTTGTACCTCTTTATCCCCAAGGGCTTATTCATTAGACTATCTAAAGATAGCTAGAAACAAGGAGGTAATGAAAATATGAAAGGAAAAAGAAAAGTAAACTGTGCCTATAACAAAATTTATCATAAGATTTCGATTATAGGCTCTGCAGGTTGAAAAGGACAATATAATCACATCCTAATGAATATTTTATTCAGATAAATTCAGTAAGTTCTAATTAGAATAGCATAACCCATCTCTTCATGATGATTGATCTAAAGGACATTTTTTCCCCTGACTTATACATGTTAAATAGACAGATATCCTCATTGTTTGAAAGCAATCAATAAGCAATAATCCTTAGGGAAAACTAAGTGCTCAGCTCTTTAACTGCTATTTTTAAAAAACTTTTATAAAGAAAGCATGATTCTTACTCTCAAGAAATGTAGACTGGCCGGGCTCGGTGGCTCAGCCTGTAATCCCAGCACTTTGGGAGGCCTAGGCGAGTGGGTTGCCTGAGCCCACGGGACAAGCCCAGGCAACTTGGTGAGATCTTGTCTCTATAATAAATAAAAAATTAGCCAGGCATGGTTGCACGTGCCTGTAGTTAGAAGACTGAGGTGGAAGGATTGCCAGAGCCCAGCAGGTCGATGTTGGGATGGCTGTGAGTGTGCCACTGCACTCCAGCCTGGGGTGACAGAGTGAGACTCTACTCACAAAAAAAAAAAAAAATAGAAATGTAGACTGACTGCTGATGAGTAATGGGATATTCTGTTTCATAGGTAGATGAATCCACACAAAGTTTTACATAACCAAGCACAGATGAGTATTTGGGATGCTATAAGACATGAGAAGTATTTATTGGAGGAAGAGTCAGGCCAAAAGCAGAAATATGGGCAATTTCTGGGAGATGGTTGCAACATGAATCGTAGTGACTAGAGTGGAAGCAGGTTAAGCTGCTGATGAAAAAAGCTGGGAGCAAGTTAATTGAGAAAGTCCAAATATGCAAGAAATGAGAGAATGGGACTGAAATGATAAACATGTTGTAGGGAAAAATGTTACAGCACTTCGTTTGGACTTAAGAGATAAAAGAAATGGATGAACCAAGGTTTCAAATCCCTGTTACTGGAGGAATACTTGGAGGAAAAACATTTTATTTTTGAAATGTTGAAGAGGAAGAAAACTACCTCAGGAGAACAATATATTACCCTCTCCTGCCTTCAGTCTCTATTAATTAATATATTGATTTTGTGGCTAATACTGTCTTTTGCATGCCAAGCACTGTGGCTACATTTGAGAGGAAAACCAGATTAAGTCTCTGTGATGATGTACCTTATTGCTTTGTGAGGGAGACTAACATTAACTTTAAAACATGAATAGATATACAAACAAAATAAGTAGAATTACATACTCCATATTACAACTGTGGTTATCTATGGAAGTGAGGGGACAGGACATGAAGGTTGATTTTCCAATCAAAGAGGCAAAGGAAGACTTCCTTAAAAAGTCATCAATTGAACTGAGATTGTAAGGATGAGTAGGAGTTGACTAACAGTGCAGAGAAGCAAGGCAGTGTACATGAGTGAATGAAATACAACCACTGTGTCTGGGAGCAGAGAATGAGTGGACTATGGTACAGGAAGAGGCTGGTGAAGTACCTGAAAGTCGGAATACATTCAGCTTTGTAAGACGCGTTAGGGATTGTGTGTATGTGTGTGTGTGTGTGTGTGTGTGTGTGTGTGTGTGTGTATTTGTGTGTGTGATCACTCTGGCTGCAGTGTAAAGAACATATTAAATGATGCAAGCATGGGCATGTTAAACTAAGGAGGAGTCTGGAAATCCTCAAATCCAGCAGTCCCCAACCTTTTTGGAATCAGGGACTGGTTTTGTGAAAAACCATTATTCCATGGTCGGGGGGTAGTGGTGGGGGCTGGTGGGGTGTGTGTCTTCAGGCATTAAATTATCATTAGATGCGCACAACCTAGATTCCTCACATGCACAGTTCACAATAGGGTTCATGCCTCTGTAAGAATCTAATGTTGCTGATGATCTGAGAGTAGAGGGAACGTCACTCACCCACTATTGCTGCTCACTTTCTGCTGTGTGGCCTGGTTCCTAAAGGCCAGGGACTAATACCGGTCCATGGCCTGGGCATTAGGGATCCCAACCAACAATAGCTTGAACAAGAGTAGTTACCCTGTAGATAGATAGGAACATTTATTGAGCTCCAACTATGTACCAACACTAAGCTAAGTACTAATATGCAGCCTCTACCTTCAAAGGGATCACAGTCAAAAACAGATTCACAGACAAGTAGTTATACCATCACAATGCATCACAGCTTTTTCACTTAAAGGATTCCAGCAAGCCTCTCTTCCTCTCACTCTATTGCCTTTGTATCTCTTCACTTTACCACCCTTTATTATTTCCAATTCTTATACTTCCCATTGCTATTTCATTTTCTCCTCAGATTGATGGCATAAGGAAGACCCACTGCCAAGAAACAGGATCCAGGGCACTGCCCACCCAGTGCCTGCAGTGAGTGATTTCTTTCTTACAGCACAACAAGGTCCAAAATGAACTGTAGCCAGACTCCTGACTTTGTTCTCTTGGGATTGTCCAATGACCCAGAGAAGGTGCAGTTCCTCTTTGGTCTTTTTCTGGCTCTCTACTTGCTGGGCCTCATAGGGAACTTGCTACTTTTGCTGGCCATTGCTGCTGATGTCCACCTCCGCACTCCCATGTACTTCTTCCTCAGCCAGCTCTCCCTGGTGGGTCTCTGTTTCACTACCACCACAGCCCCTAAATTGCTGGAGATTTTGTGGACCGGCAATGGATCCATCTTTTTCTCTGGATGTCTGACTCAGTTATACTTCTTTGCTGTTTTTGCTGACATGGACAATCTGCTTTTATTGGTCATGGCTCTTGACCACTATGCTGCCATTTGCCATCCTCTGCGCTACCCACTCCTAATGACTCCTTGTAGTTGTGGGGTTCTGGTCGGTGGGTCATGGGGAGTGGCCCACTCTATCTCTCTGGTCCATATCCTGCTACTATCCCAGCTATCTTTCTATACGAATCAAAAGATACCTCACTTTTTCTGTGATTTTGGCCCACTCTTATGGCTTTCCTGCTCTGATGCCCACTTCAATGAGGACCTGATGATGGCTCTGGCTGGGCTGTTAGGAATCAGCCCTCTCCTCTGCATCATAGGTTCTTATGTTCATATTTTTTGTGCTGTGTCTAGGGTTCCAACAGCACAGGGGAAAAGAAAAGCCCTGACCACATGCAGTTCCCACCTCTCCATAGTCGTCCTCTTCTATAGCACAGTCTTTGCCACCTACCTGAAGCCCTCATCAACTTCTTACTCTTCTGAGGAGCTGATTTCTTCCATCATGTATACTCTGGTAACTCCCACTCTAAACCCTTTTATTTATAGTCTGAGAAATAAGAATGTAAAGAGTTCACTGAAGACAATTCTGAGCATGGAGAGTTCACAGGATTAGGAATAATTTCCATAACAAGCATTTTAGAAAACTTCACCACAATTGCAAAGTGAGTCAGTTAAAAGCATGGCTGTCACAGAGCATGACATGATCTATTGTTAAAAACAAAACACTGCTCTCTCGGTCTCTGTTTCTCTCTCTCTCTCTCTCTCTCTCTCTCTCTCTCTCT